GCACTTCTTTTTATATTACTTTTTCTTATTATATAGTATACTTCTTTAGATAACTTTAATTTTTTCTAAAAATATATTTAATCATATATCATTACTTCTGTTACTAGTTTTAGGTTCTTGATCACTGTTGTTTTTTTTCACTTTATTCTTAACTTGGCATTTGTTACTATTTTATATAGAAGTCTCGCTAATAAGTTTATTTGCTTATTTTTTTATTTAAGACAGTACTTTATCTTTTTATAGCTAACTTTTTCTAAATATATTATCTTTTTGCTTAATGTTCTCTTTTTGCAAGGCTATTAGCTTTATTATTCTATTTGTTTTTACTATGACTTTTCACTTTAAATACTCTATTTGTATGTTTTTTGTTCTAATTACATCAATTATCTTCAATATTCATAATGTGTTTTTTTATTTTAAGAACTTTATTTCTATTTATATACTCTAAACCTTTACTAATATTTCTAATTACTGCATTATTATCAATAAATATTTCTAGTTTTTTCTTTTTTAGTATTATTAAAATTACTGTCCATATTGCTAACATCTTAGTTATAATAGATGTTATTCATTTTTTTTATCTTTAATATTACTTTTTTTTCTGACCAATTTTGTGTCTTACTGGTTTGTATTTATTCTATATCTATATTTCTATTTATTGTTTCTTCTTTGTTTTTTATATTTGCTGCATCATCAATATATATTATATATTTGTTCTTGTTTTTTAATATATTTTTTTTTAGAATTTCTGCTATTTCTTAACTAATATTTTCTCTCAGCTTTTGTTTTTTAACTAGTTCTATTTTTAAACTTTTTTGCAAAAAATCAAAAAATCAAAAGACACTTTAGAACAAACAGTTAAAATACTTAAGCAATACAAATCAAATAAAAACATATTTTAAAAGATAGAAAAAAAAAATAACTAGTATATAATATATAAAATTATAGATAGCTAAAAAAAAATACTCAAAAAAGAAAGAAAAAAATATTAGTAAAACATTGGCAAATACATAGTAAAGAAAATAAACTAGTTACTAAAATAAATAGTTGTAATAGTTGTATAAAAAAAAAAAAATAAACAAAAAATAACTATTAACAATAGATAAGATTGAATAGTAAAATCAATACAGTTTTATATATATTAATAAAAAAAAGTAACCACAAAATTAAAATAATAATAGATTAAATAACAGAAATAATAAAAATAAACAGATTAAAAATTTAAGAACTAAGTTTGAAAATCTTATAATAATAGAAAGTTAGAAATAAAGATGATTAAATAACAAAAATTGAAGAAAAATATTAGTAAAGAAATAATAAAAGTCTTAAGAAGAAACATGATAAAAAACAAAAACAAATATATAATATATATTGATAAAGCAACAAATATATAAGCCAGAAAAATAATAATTAAAAACAATATAGATATAAAATAAATTTAAATAAATAAAATACAAAAATAATCAAAAGAGAAGATAATACTAGATCTAGAAAAATAATAAATATTAACAATAGCTAAGTTAGTAGTAATCTAAATAACAATTTTAATAATATCTAAAGAGAAACAAATAGAGATATATACAAATAATAATATTGTAATAAAAAATATTAATAGAGGTTTGAAACAAATAGACAAAAATAAGATTCTCAAAAAGAAGAATGCATATAGATAATAAAAATTAAAGATCTTATCAAGACAAAAAATATTTAAATAGAATTAGTTAAAGTGAAAAATCATAATAAAGATAAATAAGATAACAAAACTAATAACTTGATAAAAAAAAAGTAATAAGTAAAAAGATAGTACAGATTGAAAAAGTCAATTGTAAAGAAATAGAATATTGTCTAGAATAAGAAAACAAATAAATAGATATATTACCAAGACTGTTTTGTAAGTTAGTAATAAATACAAAACTAGGAGTAGAATAGAAAAAATAAGAATTATTAAAAATTTAAAACTAGAAATAGAAATTATAATTTATAATTGAACATATTTTTGAAAAAATCTAAAGATGACTAAAAGTGTATATTGCATAACAAGAAGAAGTAGTATAAGAAAAAATATATTTATAAAGTATATAATAGATAAATTTTTGATTTTAAAAAATTTAACAGAAAAAACCAAATGTATATACAACAATGAATACTAAGTATATCAAAACAAATTAAAAAAATATAGATATACTTAGTAGCATACAAGAGACAAAGAAATTTTTAAAAGAAAATCCAAAAAATAACTATTATAACAGTATAAAAAAGACTAAAAAAAGAAGAAAAAATCTAAATTCTTCTATATATATTATATATAATACTCTTTAAAAAAATAGAACTAAAGAAAATAAAAATTAGAGAAAATGCTAATTAAAGATCTAAATTTTTTTTTTTTAAGGCTGTAGTTATCGGCAACTATTGCCTTTATTGTATTTTAATTATGATTATATAACTTATACAAGGTGAGTATACAACTAGTCACATGTACAACTTTTGGTTGTCTAATTTTAAGTAGTCTGCCCATACAGCAAGTTCTATACTAGTTGCCATACCTGCAATCTACTAGAAGATTACCTATTTTAAACACTCTGATCTCTATACTTATACTGACAAATAGTGCACAAGTTCCTGTACACCTAAGTGTCGTCTAACCTAACCTTGATCTTCCTGTCTGTACATCCATTAAGCTGTTACATATTTCAGAGTATGTCATTTGACTGTAGGGCTCCAGGAGGCCTCTTTGCTAACTAACTATTCACATTTAGTATTTTGTTAACAGGGTTTACCCTTGCAGAGTTCATACAGACCCCAGCACTGACTTCACAGCATATCCCTAGTACTTTAGTATATCCTTGTTTTTGACCTCAAACTTTCAATTCAGATAGCCCAGTAGGACTGTAATCTGTTCTTGGTACCCCAAGGACTGCCTCTTAAGGTCCTTTTCCTCCAGTTCAAGACTTCTGGTGGCCTAGTTGGTGATATCCCTTATCTGAGGTTCTTGCCTGCCTGATTCCTTCTATATTGATATCTATTTCCTAGATCTAGTCTTTACAGTAGTACTGTCAAAGATCTGTGTTACCTCTCTACTCAGGTCTTCCCAAGTTGGCTTTTAGTTATCCCAGTTCACAAATTTACATGGCCACAGATGCTCTATGACCTGCCAGGTATCTGGTGTGACCATGTTACAAGTACTGATCCCAACTGATCGATAGATAACCGTTGCTATTATACTGGTTTCAAGAACTTATCTTGTGTTTGCACTGCCTAATGCTGGTTTGCATTTCTCTGTGTAACTCTAACATTGCACAGATGCCTATATACACTAATGTAACATAGGTGATTTTTCAAATTTTCACTGTCAGTGGGTTTTGAACTCCCAACCTACCACTTGGAGGGTTGACAACTTATCCATTTCACTAAGTTGCCACACTCCTAAAGATCTAATTTTAAAAAAATACAGAACAGATTAATATAACTTCTAAATATAAAATCAAGACAACAGTTTATGAAGATAATAACAAGAACAGTTTGAGATATGTTTTACAAACAAAAATAAAAAATACAATATAAAAAAATTAATAAACAAAAGAAAAAATAAGAATAACAGATAGGATAAAAAGAAGAACAGAAAAAAAAAAAAAACCAAGTAAAAGAAAAAAAACAAATTAACAAAAAATAAAAGAAAAAAAAAACAAATTAAAAAAAAACCAAAAAGATAATAATAAACTTGTCATAAAAAGAAAAGACCCTTCTATTATAGATTTTAAATAGTTAGACAAACAACTTACTTCTGTTTAAAGTAATGTAACAGATTGCACTTAAGTACTATTAGGACAGTATTGTCACAGGACAGTTGTAGACATGAGTTTGAACACTTTTGGACATTTTTAGACAAATAAATAAATTAAATTTGCTCAAAATTTTATTAGATTAACCTATTTTAACTTTCTAAATAAAAATATTCAGCACTATAAAAAATAATAATCATATATTTTTTAAATTAATATATTAATTTTTAAAGCTTGTATATATTGTGAACATTCTTGGACGTTTGGACGTTTGGGCGTTGGACATGGTCAAAAAAAATCTTGGACATAGTAGACGTAACAACACTGTATTAAGATGACTAGGTAATGCTAAACTTAGGTATTTGGAATATTTATGTAATTGCAAATGTAATTTCAAAATCTTAATAAAATACTAACATAACTGCTTAAGAAAAAAAAAAATTATAGTTAAACAAAAAACAATTATAAATAATTAGTTTTTAATTTGTAAACTAAGCAAATACATTAAGGTTTAAGTATAGAATTCATTCAACTACTTCTTTATAATTAAAGGTTTTGAGTTGAACCTCTTTTATACAATTATTAATATCTTTACTTTCATTTGTCCAACCTTGAATTTTTAAATAAGTATTATCTTCAATATAAATATCGGATTAAATTGCAAGTATGTCACGTAAAATTTGGAACTGAGTTTATTATTTTTTAAAAAATAAATTACGGCCTAAACACTTGCGAAGTTCATCAGCTTACTTACAAAAAACTTCTGCAAAACGCCAATTAGATTGAAGTATCAGGTGTAATGTAAAAATCACGTCTTTCTGTTTTTTTTTTTTAAAAAAAAAACGCTAATAACTCGGAATTTTGTCTATGAAATCGTCTTTTGCATTCTAATAAAAAAATTTCTTGTGAAATTTTAGTATAAAATATACCCTTACTTAGCCTTAATCCTAACTCTAAAGATGTATTTTATTAATTTAAATCTTTTCTGTGTGGAATGGTTACACCGCATGATCGACATAACCTGACACAGAAAACCTACAGATTATTATTTTTGTTTATAATGATAATCAAGGATCAAAACAAAATCATATATAATAATAAATTTAGTCACGTGGAAATTCACACGTATCACGTATATATACACAACTATTCAGTAGGGAATTCATCCTATCCCTTAATTCTTCTAAGATTAAACGAAATTTTTATTTTCATCCGTAAAAAATGGTCAGCGAACAAAGCGGTGTTCTCTCGGGGAATAATCCCATGAGTGTTAATGCAACTGACCCTCTACAACTAGTCATAGTACAGGTAAAAACCTCCCAGATTTGGTTGACGGAATAAACCGGAATTCTTCCGGAGAATTCACGTTTGTTTACATTTATGTTCGCGGGACGTTAGTGATAAATTTTACATCCAACAATGTATACATATTCATAATAGGCCTTCATAATAGTAGCCTTTACTCTCCTTCTCCATCTTGTTCTTAAACATATTCGTCAACCACGAGTCACATCTGAAGTGATAGGTGGAATTATCCTTGGCCCTTCTGCATTGGGTCATATTCCGGGATACATGGATCATGTCTTTCCAGCAGTTTACCTTAACCTTCTGGCTAATTTGGGCCTGGTCCTATATTTATTCCTAGTTGGTTTAGAATTGAATCCAAGGATAATAAAAAATAATTTAAGATATGTTATTTTTATCTCTGCATCCGGTATAATATTACCTTTTGCCTTGGGTGTAGGCGTCGCATATGGTATTTATGATACAATGGGTATTCAGGGAGTGCCATTTACTAGTTTTGTGCTGTTCATTTACGTTGCCATGACTATTACGGTAAAAAAAAATTCGGTTACATAATTACTTGAAACGCGTGCGTATCTTCATAGAGACATCAACATGATTGTTAAATTATAGGCTTTCCCAGTCCTCGCGCGTATATTGTCGGGGCTGAAACTTATGAGAACTCCCGTGGGTAATCGCGCACTAACCTCTACTGTTGGTGACGATTTCTTGATTGTTGACTACCCAGATTCAATTATGCTGGAGAACTTAATTGAATTCAACCATTTTAGTAACCCTGAAAAAATTACCGAGGGCGGATTTGGAATAATTTGCAAATATAAGTATAGAAACTTAACTTGTGTCCTCAAATGTAGTAAAAAATCAAAAAACTGTGAGGTTTTTGACAACGAAATAAAATTGATGAAAGATATCAATCATCAAAATATAATCAATTTCTATGGGATTACTAAAGATAACCATGAAAATCTTTATATTGTTTTACAATATGCTAACAATGGAAACTTAAGGGAATACCTAAAAGCAAATCTTATGCATTTAAAATGGTCTGACAAAATATTCATTGCGAAGGGAATTGCACTTGGTCTTCACTACTTACATAACAATAATATAATTCATAGAGATCTTGTGTGTATATATTTAACTTACATGTTTATAAATTTTAATTCACTAATATTGACAATTAATTTACTTATAGCATTCACTAAATGTCTTAATCCATGAACGTCAACCAAAAATCTGCGATTTTGGTTTATCTAAAAGAGTGAATGAGATTTCAAAAATTTCAATACCTAATTATGGTGTGATAGAATATATTGACCCCCAACATCTCAACAATTTCGAATATATGTATAATAAAAAATCGGACATTTACAGCTTTGGCGTAATTCTTTGGGAAATCTCTAGCGGAAGGCAACCATTCCAAGCCATTGAGGATAAAAACTTGACCATTCTTTATATTTTAAGAGGGGATAGAGAGGATCCTATCGAAGGCACACCAACTCAGTATATAGAACTTTATTCAAAATGCTGGAATTATGATCCCGGAGTTCGTCCAGAAACAAAATCAATTATCGAAAAATTAGAAAAAATGGAATTGGTTTGTATTTCACACAATTTTTAACAATGACTGGTTACAAAAGCCTTTACAAAATAAGAAGACTTAAAACAACATTCGTCATTTCATTCAACAGGTGGAAAAATATTTACGAACAATAAAGCTTACAATAATTCTCGCTACTTTATTCGACTACTGGCAAAACTTTTTACGAAGATATCATCATTTATAATATTATCCTTAATATTTTTTTCGTCTCCAAAGTAAATTGACAAAATCAAGAATAATCGTTTCTAAATCTGTTATTCCTTTTGGATCACCTTTATTGATGAAAATATGATATGGGAGTGTGCCACACTGCGGCTTTTGGCGCTGATATATGCTATAAAAATTTAATCAGTCGTCGCGCGTTTGTCACGTGACGAAGGCAAAGAGGATTACTACACTACGCATAGCAACGAACAAGGTGCTTCCTACTTCCTTCTTTATAGTAGCAAACATGAGCCCACACTACGTTGCGGCGAATTCTACTTGCTACACATACACATAACTTTTCATATTTGACTTTCTATTAAAGTAGCAAATACGGCCCACACTATGGTGTGGCTAGGGATGGCATATGATTTAAATCCCAATGATATACTGTAAATCATTTTAGCACGTGTGACAGGTTAAGCCACTGATTTCATAGCATGACCACCAAGATCAGTTACGTAATCTGTATTTAAAATTTTGATATCGAATGCATAACCAAATAAAAAATGATTCAATAAAAAATTTTAAATTTTATCAAAAAAAAAAAAACCCCCCGAAATTCCAAGTTAATAATATTCTATCCTAATAATATAATTGAAAGTGTTTATTGTTACAGAAATACTTTAAACAACTTTGATTTCCTGGTATGAAAAAGTGTTCAACACAATTCTTTATTTAGGCAGTAAAATGTACTTTATTGATTCTATTCCATGTTTTTGGAAGACTTTTCGCATGCTTCTATCATTTGTCATTTTTTGAATCAATATTTTTTAAACAAAGTTTTTTTTTTTTTATTATAATCAAAAGGATCATGTGTATATCCAATAACCTCTATATGAACAAAGTACAATTAATATATTGTATATTATACATCATAAAGGGTCTTTTTTATAATTTCTGCAATTCTAGTCTTAGCATCTGCCTCGTCCACTTCAGCTATATTATTATATTCAGAAATAGTTTAATGTACGTATTATCTCTTATTTGGTTTGTTCAGCTTATATAATAAGAAAATAATCGAATTTCATGAATCTAAACTATCAGAATTTTTAATTAATGGGTATAATAAATAAATATACCTTCGAAGAAATATACATCCATTTTCCAAGAGGATCAATAAAAAAAAAACTGCTTATTAAAAAAACCAGAACAAAGAAATATGCACTGCTTATTATTTATTGACATTTTTCTGTGTTTTTGATAGTATGTGTATTAAGATTTCCCACTCATTTTTAAAATTATCACGCCCTGCGTTCCCGTTTAATACAGATTTTTTTATTAACGTTAGCTTCAAATAAATTGGTTGATTTGTGATGTATAGCAAAAAAATTTTCTTTGATAGTTAGTTATGGGAAAAAGAAAATCAAAAGTTTCTTTTTTTAATACATAAATCGTCATATTAATCGTTGAAACTCCGTACGTAACTGTTCTTTGTGGTCATGCTAGGTTCGTGTATGCCTTAATCATGATGAAAAGCTATTGTATTTAGCAATTTGAAAAGGCTTATCATTACGAAGTTAAAGTTAAATGTATAAAACATGATTTGATCGTATTTGGTTATTCTTTATTTTTTTTGCGATTTTATAAATTAACTTCTTTTTTTTTTTATCTAACATGAGTAAAGCATGCAAATTAAAAGTTTAAATAACCTATCGACTTCTAATAAGACTTACTGTAAAAGAGAACCAATTTTTTTAATAAAGTTTATAAAAAAAAGAGTTTAGTATGAGAGGTCTTTCAAATGCCTCGCCGGTTATGCAAATTTGGATATATTTTTTTTGAAAAAAAACTTAATAAAACGAAATTAACAAAATGGATGAGAACGATATTTTCGGCATCATTTCATTTTTAGTTATTAATTCAAACTGTCAAAATATTAGGCCAACGTTACGAACCGTGTTAGATAAATTCAAAGATCAGTGTAATGTAACCAAAATAAAATCTCCTAAATATTTTTCTTTATGATTTTAGTTGCGATTGTTTAATCATAAGTGCTGCGAAAATATGAGTTCATGAGTAAATGATATGGAAGAAAGGAGAATTCAGCTCTTTGAGTTATCTTCATTCAAAGAGGTAAAATTAAGTAAAAAAAAACCCTTTTGAGTAAAAATGTGTTAAACAATAGCACGGTTATAGAAACAACATATTGTTTGCTTTGCTTAAAGTAGGGATGTTAAGTGGTTCACGGGGAACCGGTTCGGATTGGGTCTTGACTAGGGATGTTAAACAGCTCGGTTTAGTCGGTTTTCGAGTTATTTAGAGTCGAGTCATTTAAAGTCGACTCAAAGTCGACTTCAGTAATATAATATGATATTTACTAAATTCGGAATATCGCAACAATTAAGTTTATCAGTTCTATCTTTGTACACCTGCACATGATTAAAAACTCAATTCTGAGTCTGATACTGACTCGACTTCTGGAGTCGGGTCAGTTCGGACAGACACTTTAACATCCCTAGTCTTGACCAGACTTTTTAGGGACTAGTAGGGACTAGTTCAGTATTGGTCCAAACCAGTCCAGCTCTCACATGATATGAACATAGTGTCATTTTTGACACATTAAATAAAATTCGATAAAATATGAATCAATAACGACACACTCTAAGTGGTGGTACTTTAAATAAAATTCGCTGATTGGGTGTCAATGATAGGTACTCTCGATAGCTAAAATTAGTTAAGTTTTGATTACACCTTCTGCTTTTTGATCGATAATGGATTTGTAATTATGGCGTAATGTTACAGTATTAGTAAGCACCAATGGGTTTTAGGGTTTACTAATTTTCCCCCACAGTTCCTATTGGACGAGAAAAAATCCTACTTTTCGATCAAATAATGAAATGTCGTTGAAACAGTATAAAGGTCTAATAGAACAAATATTATGCTAAAATTTTGCAAGGAATTTTTTTTGTTAGAACACAAAAGGTGGTTTTGTAACTAAAATTTTAAACTACTAATGATTTTTGAAAAACTTTAAAAACTTCAATTTTTTTTTTAAAAAAATTTTATGTTACACCTGATCTTATAATTTGATTGGTAGACGAAAGGTGGCGTAGTCAACATTGTCCAATTAGAAATGACATTTACAACTGTCCAATTAGAACTGTGAGGAAAAATTAGAGATTCTATAGGTTTTATTGCAGTTTTTTTTGCTTTTGATCAAAATAATTGCTTGTAATTATAATATAAATATTACAGTATTAGTAAGTATCAATAGAATTAATTAGTTTTTTTTATTTTTCAATTAATAATAGGTGTAATTATATAAAGTTTTTAATGCTGACTTCTGTCTTGATGATTGTTTATCTTTGATTTATGACAATAACATAAAAGTTGAAGCATAAAAGAATAAATATAAAATATTTGCTTATTATCAAAATATACAGATAATAATACTAAGTAAAATGGTTAATATTTATTATTATAAATTATATTAATTTAATTACTTGAATAATCACATTATAATTTACATTAAGCTATAAAGTTATTAGTTTGAATTTTTCTATCTAATTAATAACAATTATTCTTCTTTACTATATATAATTCATATTTCAAGTCCAAATTTTTTCTACTTTTTGTAATTATTTTTTTTTTTTATTACAATTGTGTTTGTTTAATTACAATTTAATTTTTTTTTATTATAAATATATTTATTTAATTGTAATATATTTTTTTAAAAAAAAAATTTTATAAATATAAAAGTAATGTTTTAAATAAAATTTTAAATTCTTAAGAATTTATTAGTCATATTATGTTTTTTAATAAATACTTATAAAATTTTATAAAACACTCTTCTTGCTAATTACTTGTACACAAAATCTGTAAGAAAATATTATAGAAGTTTACTAAAAATAACTGTCTAAACCAACTTTGTAAATCTAGAAGAAAAAAATAGAACTTGCAAAGAAGGTATAGCAAGAGCAGAAAGAAGGAAAATAAATAGCTTAGTAAAAGCAACAAAGAGAAAAACACCTTGATCAATACTTTAAAAAATGAAATTTTAGAAAACTTTTTATAACCTGAAAATGTAAATCTGTAGATTACAGCAATATGTAAATAAACAACAAAACAAACACATATACTAATAGATATACAAATAGGTCCAATTTGAATTGTGATAAACAAAAACATAGAAAGTTCTAGAACAACAAGCAACAAACAAAAATTATAAAGAATTAGGCTAAATATGAATAGCACACAAAATTGAAAAGAAAGCCTGATGTCAATCTATACAAAAGAGTATACTGAGTAGCAAATAGTATATATAATAAAGTGTTTTTCAACCAAGCAAGCAACATATATATGTTATCAAATAGAAAAAATAAAGTTATGGCTATATTAACAAAACAAGACCTAGTAGAGGTTGTGTTGTTATATATAACCAGAGAAATAATTAAGAAGGCAGAAGAAGAACAGCCAGAAAAAAAGATTAATATTACTAAATAAAACAAAAATATTATAATAATAGAACCTATAATAGGGCAAATGCAAGACAAAGAGAAAGAGATACAACAATAGTCAATTGAAATACACAATAGTCAAAAAGAACTACATGAAGTAGGACAAGAGAAAGAAATGAAAATTGAAAAGGTATTTGAAAAAACAATACAAGTCAAAACTAAAAACTTACAGAAAGAAATAAGTATAAAGGTAAGTCAAGCAAATATCAACCAGAAAAACAGAAATCTGCCTATACAAAGAAGTAATAAAAATGAACCAAAAGAAGATCAAGATCAAAAAAATATTAAAATAGAAATCAAAAGAAAAATTGATATAGTTAGGAAACCTCTAGAAGAAAGCATATAGGTTTCAAGAAAGAGAGACCATAACTAAAATAATAATCTACTTGCTAACATACTAGTACACAATGTGCCTAAGAAGACAAAAGAAAAGCATATGAAGTTTATCAAATAATTATTAAAAAACAATGCATATGTCAAAGATGTCAGAGAAATCTTCAAAAAAGGAAACATATGATAG